CAGCATGCAGTGGGTGCACAGGGGGGCCCCCCCACAGCCATGGTCTACTCAGCATGCAGTGGTGTGCACAGGGGGGCCCCCCCCTGGTCTCAGCAGTGGGTGCACAGGGGCCCCCCCCTGGTCTCAGTGCAAACAGGCAGGGGGTGCCCCTGGTCTCAGCATGCAGTGTGTGCACCACAGGGGGGCCCCCCCCTGGGCCATGCAGTGGGTGCAGGGGGCCCCTGGTCTCAGCATGCAGTGGGTGCACAGGTGAGCCCATGGGTGCAGGTGGGTTGCACAGGGCCACAGACGCCCCCCAGCTATGTGCAGTATTGGAGGACCAGAGCATGCTGAGACTTGTAGTTCCCCTTCCAGCCCTCACCTACCCCTGTGGCAGTCAAGTCCCGGATGGCGGGGGGAGGGGGTCGGGCCCTCTCCCAGGGGGCCGCAGTTGCAGTATTGGCCCCAATCCGGGGTCGCCTCTACCTATCCGGGAATCTTATTTTGGGGGCCCTGTGGGTTCCTCCTGTGCCTGGATGCTCAGCCCCGCCCGCTGTCACCCTATCTATCTTCCCCATTGGCTCCCCAGCATCGTCACTCAGCCGGCCTGCGAGGCGGGCCAACAACAGCTGGTGAGTCATCCACAGAGAGCGCATGTGCCATAGGTAGCGTCCGTCGTTGAGGGTTCGCGCGCGGTGCATGCTGGGAGAACCGGCTCTGAGCCATGTCTGACTGTGGGCTCTGAGAAAATGGCGCCTGTAGTGAAGACGGAAGTGTATGCATAGACGGGAGAGAGGGAGGATTAAAACACTCGATGTTCGTTATGCTTGTTCGGTTTGGGAGTGTCGCAGTGTAACTGTACTAGGAAAGTGACAATTTTTTTTTGTGTGAAATGGGGTGAGCAGATGACACTGTGTGACTTACAGAAGGAACCAACGTGCAGTGACTGAACGGGGACACCGGAAGTAGTGAGTTTCCATTTCTTGTGAACCTCTGTGGTGCCGAGGTATGTCACTAGATGGGAGTGCAGGATGTGTGCTGGGAAAATGAGCACTTGTAGTCCCTCACCAAGCTCAGGCTGTCATGCTGGGACTTGTAGTCCCTCACCAGGCTGTCATGCTGGGATTGTACTCCCTCCCCAGGCTCAGGCTGTCATGCTGGGATTGTAGTCCCTCACCAGGCTCAGGCTGTCATGCTGGGATTGTACTCCCTCCCCAGGCTCAGGCTGTCATGCTGGGACTTGTAGTCACCCCTCTTCCAGGCTCACTGTCATGCTGGGACTTGTAGTCTCCCCCTCCCCCAGGCTCAGGATGTCATGCTAGGACTTGTAGTCCCTCACCAGGCTCAGGCTGTCATGCTGGGACTTGTAGTCCCTCACCAGGCTCAGGCTATCATGCTGGGACTTGTAGTCCCCTCACCAGGCTACAACATAGTAAACACCATTTTCTTTATTATGAATGGAGCCGGATGGGATCCTCTGTGTTGTTGCATTCTGTGTCCCCTTATGGGGATATGACCCTTTACTTCCTGTTCTGCTAACAATGTTGTCCCCCCAGGACAGGAAGTGATGGCAAATCTTCAACAGGGCCAATAAAAACAGCTTAGGGGAAGTTGAGAACTCCCATCTGTGACCCCATTGGAGTGATTTTCCCTCACTTCCTTTCCTCTGGGGCCCCCTTACTGGATATGGCAGGGAGGAATAGTTGTCAGAAGCTTAGGTGGGAGTCCCCTTTGTAAGGATTACCCATCATTTCCTGTCCCCGTTGATAGCGGCAAGGGTTTTTTTCTGCCTGTGACCCTATTAGGAGGGGTTTAACACTGCTCTCTTCCTGTCTCTGTGGAACCCCCCCCCATACAAGAATCGGGTGGGGGTTTGTCACAAGGACAGAGGGGACCCCCTTTGGAGAGATTTCCACCACTTCCTGGTCTGTTTGACAGTTGGTCAGTTTTTAGGGGTTTTTTTGCCTGTTTACCTCAATGGGGAGATTTTTCCTCACTTCCATGTCTCTATGACCCCCCCCCCCCCCCCATACACCATACAAGAAGAAGGGAAGTTGGGAGATGGTAGGTTTTCAGAAGCAGGAGAATACCCATCACTTCCTACCCTAGTGGGCGATTTTCATACCTGATTTTCCTGTCTCTGTGACCCCCGTATAAAAAAGATCGGGTGGGCGGTTGTCCACAGAACAGGAGGGTCCCCTTTGGAGAGATTTTTCCCATGCACTTCCTGTTTGTTGACAGTGTCTTTTGTAAATTGATCTGTGAACTCCCGCTCTCTCCGCCATGTTCTATATATTACAGGTCATGAATGTCGCCTTCGCTACCATGCCCCGCCTCCTCGCCAGAGCGGACCCCGGATCGTGGTCTCGGAGTATTGGTTCAGCCGGGTGACCGTGGAGCACTTAGCGCGGCAGTGGCAGAAGGTTTTCCAAGATGGAGCGGCGTTCCGGAGGCGAGGGAATCCAGCGAGATTCTAATAGCAAACATAGCGCTTGGAGCGAAGACGGTAAAGTCAGAACACAGCTTCCTCCTCCTACAAAGTTACAATGTACAGTCTGATCACTGTGGGGAGGAGACTGAGGAAATGCCTCCTCCTCCTTCTACAAAGTTACAATGTACAGTCCTGATCACTGGGGGAGGGGAGACCTGAGGAAATGCCGCTCCTCCTGCCCTGCAAGCAGACTGATGACCTCACCTCGGCATAGGCAGAGTCACTGGGTGTCCCTGTGAACAGATATACTGTGAACGAGTCCGGAATGTATTCCCTGCAGGAATGGTAACAAGTTCTGCTTCTCTGTTCCCCAGCATTTTCGGGGTCTGGCCGGGCCCCAGTCTCTGATGAGATTCAGCACTGATGCACATGAGAAGATGTGCGCAGGAGCGCTGAAGAGGTAACTGACCAGAGGATCACTCCTGCGGATTTCACTACTGATTCCAGTGGCACTGTAAGCGGTGCTGGGGCATGCTAAAGCGGCCATTATTCTCATCAGACGTCATTGTAGAATGCCTGAAACTCTGCAGATTCATCTCCTTTTATTGTGTCCTTCCCTGCCCCCCACAGTACCCCCCCCAACCCCCCCCCCCAACATGCCGCGGTCAGGTTGCAATATAATCGTCTCTCATTGTTCCCTGTGACTGTCGTCCCCCATTGCAGGGTCCCGTTCAGTACATCATCGGGAGTGGGACTTTGTCTGGATGTGACCCTGCAGATTAGAGCCCCCGCCTGTGTTTATCCGCGACCCGAGACGGAGGTGAGAGCCCCGCGGGCCAACAATGCACAATAATAATCCCGTATCCCCAGTGACTGTGCCTCACGTTTATACAAATCTTCCTGCAGAAAGTTGTACCTGTTATATCTGCCGGATCTGTCCCCCGACATCCACATCTCTCTCTTTTTTTTTTCTTTTTTCTTTCTCTCTCTCCCTCCCCCCTCCCCCTTTCTCTCTCCTCCCCTTTCTCTAATCCACCCTCCTGCCCCCATATCTTCTCCCCCTCCCCCCCTTATCTCTCCCCCTCCCCCTCTCTCTCTCCCCTCCCCTCTCGGCCTCCCTCCCCCCCCTCTTCTCTCCCTCCCCCCCTCTCACTCTCCCCCCCTCTCCCCCCCTCCTCCTCCCCCCCCTCTCTCTCTCTCCCCCTCTCTCTCTCTCTCACCACCCCTCTCTCCTAGTCTCCCCCCGTCTCTCCCTCCCCCCTCTTCCCCCCTCTCCTCTCTCCCCCCCGTCTCTCTCTCCCCCCTCTCTCTCCTCCCCCCCCCTCTCTCTCTCCCCCCCCCTCTCTCTCTCCCCCCCTCTCTCTCTCCCCCCCCCCTACTCTCTCTCTCGACCTCCCCCCCTCTCTCTCTCTCCCCCCCCTCATTCTCTCACTCCCCCCCTCTCTCTCTCCCCCCCCCTCTCTTCTCCTCTCCCCCCATCTCTCTCTCCCCCCCATCTCTCTCTTCCTCCCCCCCTCTCCCTCTCTCCCCCCCTCTCTCTCATTCCCGGCCCCTCTCTCATTCTCCTCCCTCTCCCCCTCTCTCTCATTCTCCCCCTCTCTCCCTCTCCCACTCCCCCTCTCCCCCTAAAGCTCCCCCTCCCCCCCCCCCCCCCCCCCCCCCCCCCCCCCCCCCCTCCCCTCTCCCCCTCCTCTCTCCCTCTCTCGCTCCCTTCCTTTCTCTCTCCCCTCCCCCTCTCTTTCTCACCCTCCCCCTTTCCCCCTCTATTTCGTCCCTCCCCCTCTCTTTCACCCTCTCACCTCCCCCTCTCTTTCTCCCTCTCCACCTTTCTCCCCCTCCCTCCCCCTCCCTTTCTCCCCCTCCCTCCCCCCTCTCTTTCTCCCACCAGCCCTCCCCCTCTCTTTCTCTCCCCTCCCTCCCCCTCTCTTTCTCCCCCTGCCCCCTCCCCCTTCTCTTTCTCCCCCTCCCTCCCCCTCTTCTTTCCCCCCTCCCTCCCCCTCTCTTTTCTCCCCCTCCCTCCCCCTCTCTCTTTCTTTCTTTCCCTCCCTCCCCTCTCTTCTTCTCCCCCTCCCCCCTCTCTTTTTCTCCCCCTCCCCCTCTCTTTCTCCCTTTTCCCCCTCCCCTTCTCATTATCCCCCTCCTCCCCTTCTCTTTCCCCCTCCCCTTCCCTCTTTTCCCCCCTCCCCCTCCTCTTTCCCCCTCCCCCTCTCTGTTCCCCCTCCCCCGTCTCTTTCCCCGCCCTCCCCCTCTCTTTCTCTTCCCCCTCCCCTCTCCCCCTCGCCCCCTCCCCCTCCCCTCTCCACCCCCCCCCCTCTCACCCTCTCCCCCTCTCTCACCCTTCCCCCCTCTCTCTCTCCCCTTCCCCACTCTCTCACCCTCCGCCCTCTATTCTTTCTCACCCTCTCCCCCCTCTCCCCCCACTCTCTCCTCTCACTCTCTCTTTCTCCCCCCCCCGCTCTCTCTCTCTCCCCCCGCTCTCTCTCCCTCTCTTTCTCTCTCCCCCCCCCCCCCTCTCTCTCTCTCCCTCCTCTTCTCCCCCCCTCTCTCTCTCCCTCTCCTTCCCCCCCCTCTCTCTCTCCCTCTCTTCATTCATCCCCCCCACTCTCTCTCTCTCCCCCCCCTCTCTCTCTCCCTCTTCTCCCCCCCTTTCTCTCTCTCCCCCCCTCTCCCCCCCCTCTCTCTCTCCCTCCTTCCCCCCCCTCTACTTCCCATTTTAGGGAACACAAACACAATATATTACTCATCTTTTCTGGTAAAATATAAAAGCTGATGTTTCAGCGAGTACATAGATACCCAACATGCCAAGGCTTAAAGGATTTGTTCACCGTTAGTAAGAAGTTACTAAAGCTCCTGCCCACAGCCTGACCTGATCTCTCATTGTGACAACAGGCGGGGGGGGGGGGGGGGATCCTCTCCCTGCACCCGTTGTCAAAACTCAAAAAGAGCAAGGCCGTTCGGGGCTCCACCCACACAGCCATATCATTCAATCACAGGAATCTGTGAAGGAATGAACTATAATTACCGCCTGTCACCGCGGCAGACAGCTGTAGTTCTCAGTGAACTGTGGGGGCGCTGCTGAGCACTCTTGTAGTTCATTGATCTTCCTCAGTAACTATCTGCCCGCACCGGAGGGACAGGCGGACAGTTGTACTGACAGTCTGCAGGAGCCTGACATGGCTGCACGGCGCTGACATTGTACAGGCGATGCCAGGAGATTATTCATCCACTCAGGCGGCTGGTTGTTTCCTGGTCATCGTCTTATTGGCGGAGGCATTTCAGCTCACGCACAATATTAATTACGCAACGCGGCGTTTTTATAGAGCACGCTGTGTGCTAATGTCACAGAACACGTAACGCTCGCTGCTTCTCCCTGTGTATTATAAATACAAAAACCGAATTCTCCTCTCTGGGGCCCCTCTGTCTGCCCTGCATATACCAGGGCCAGGATATATAGCTCTCATCATGTTTATGTACAAGTGGTTCTCACTTGTAAAGTCAAGGCTGAGCGCTCCTGAGAGGCTGTGATATTTTCAGGAAGCTGTGTACAGCACCCTGCCGGCACCTTCCACCAGCCATGATCTGCCTGCATTGCATAGAAAAGCACAGAGACCCAGTGATGACATCACTGAGTCTAAAATCAGGTATGTAATGAAAATGGAAAGGTTTTATTTAAAAACCAAATGTCATTAGAGTGTTGATGGTGGTGGAGGGGGGGGGGGATGACTAGAGAAGGCAGTATGTAAGCAGATTACACTTTTAGGTAATTGTTTTTTTTTTTTTAAATTCCAAGGAACTGGTTGGGCTGGTTCTGGCGGATTGCCCAGGGTTGAGGCGGGCACCTGAGCCCAGAATCCTTGAGGTGGGCTGCGGTTCTGGAGCCGTGTCCTTGGCTTTGCTGCAGAACATTCCTCAGGTAATGTAGAACATTGTGTACATGTGTATCCAAACCCAGGAAGAAGCAATAGTAATATGTGTTGTGTGTATGTGTATGTATGTATGTATGTATACGTGTGTGTGTGTGTATGTATGTATACGTGTGTATGTATGTATGTATGTATACGTGTGTATGTATGTATGTATGTATACGTGTGTATGTATACGTGTGTATGTATGTGTGTGTGTGTGTATGTGTGTGTGTGTATATTTATATATATGTTTGTATGTATGTATGTTTGTTTGTGTGTAGATAGAGAGATAGATATATAATAGATAATTTATCTCTTTTATGTTCATCTGGTGATCCTGCTGCTAACACACTTCCTGTCCTACAGTGACAACACTCACCCTACTGTATCTGTGAAGCAATGTTTTCAACCTAGGACATGACTAAAGAACACTCTCATCCCTTCCCTCTATAACAGTGATCTTTCAGCTGCAATCCAGGGGCTGGATGTGGCCTTTTGTTTGTTTTTATCTGGCCCTTGGGGCACTATTCCTCCCACTGATACCAATGATGGGGCACTATTCCTCCCACTGACACCAATGATGGGGCACTATTCCTCCCACTGATACCAATGATGGGGCACTATTCCTCCCACTGACACCAATGATGGGGCACTATTCCTCCCACTGATACCAATGATGAGGCACTATTCCTCCCACTGACACCAATGATGGGGCACTATTCCCCCACTGATACCAATGATGGGGCACTATTCCTCCCACTGACACCAATGATGGGACACTATTCCTCTCACTGATACCAATGATGGGGCACTATTCTCCCCACTGACACCAATGATGGGGCACTATTCCTCCCACTGATACCAATGATGGGGCACTATTCCTCCCACTGACACCAATGATGGGGCACTAATCCTCCCACTGACACCAATGATGGGGCACTATTCCTCCCACTGACACCAATGATGGGGCACTATTCCTCCCACTGACACCAATGATGGGGCACTATTCCTCCCACTGACACCAATGATGGGGCACTATTCCTCTCACTGACACCAATGATGGGGCACTATTCCTCTCACTGACACCAATGATGGGGCACTATTCCTCCCACTGATACCAATGATGGGGCACCATTCCTCTCACTGACACCAGCGATGGGTCACCGTTCCTCCCGCTGACACCAGCGATGGGTCACCGTTCCTCCCGCTGACACCAGCGATGGGTCACCGTTCCTCCCGCTGACACCAGCGATGGGTCACCGTTCCTCCCGCTGACACCAGCGATGGGGCACCGTTCCTCTCACTGACATCGGTCCAAGAGAAGCACATGTAAAGGATAGGAAGTGGGGACCTGGATGTGTGACATCATATTTACTGCCTTATAACAATGTTGCTCGTGTTGTTTGCTCCTCAGGCTCGTGTCCTGGCCATAGATAAAACCGAGGCAGCTGTGAACCTCACCCGAGACAACGCCGAGGGGTAAGTGACTTAGGATACCAATCAATGAGCTGACATTTCAGACAAGGATTTCGATTTTGTTGGATTTATCCCTTTAATTACCAACACCTCAGATTCAGCCACCTCCCAACCCAAATTAAAGTAGAACTCCAACTTAAAGGTTTTTTTTTTTCCTTATGGATCCCATATATATATATATATTAGGGAGGAAGGACACCCTGTCATTTGGCCCATTTCCTGTGAGCCCAACCTGTCAATTACACATCCTCTAGGGGGCCCATCATCCCCATCATGTAGGCGGGGCTCCCACTACTTCAGATTCAGCACACAAAAATACCTGTTTAATAAATGGGTAAGGATTCTCCGAGCACTGAGGGTTAGCCAAAAAGATTGTGCAGAATAAAAGCTCAATCTTTCCCCTCCGGACCCACCTCATTGGCTGGGTAGATTCTCTTTAACTGATCCCGGTGCTCTGCCTCTAAGGAAATCATTTATATTTGTATAGAAGAGATATGAAGCATTGATGACAATGGATACATAGATGGAATGATTGGGGATACGTGGTGATGTCCAGTGACACCGCTCTGTGTTTTTGTTCTGCAGACTCAATCTACAACACCGAATCCAGATTCTCCAGCACGACGTATTGTCAGGTTAGACCTTCTGTTCTGGCAAAGTGTTTCCAGCAACCCTTCCTCTGCCCTCGGCAACCCTTCCTCCGCCCTCGGCAACCCTTCCTCCGCCCTCGGCAACCCTTCCTCGGCAACCCTTCCTCCGCCCTCGGCAACCCTTCCTCCGCCCTCGGCAACCCTTCCTCCGCAACCCTTCCTCCGCCCTCGCCAACCCTTCCTCCACCCTCGGCAACCCTCCTTCCTCCGACCTCGGCAACCCTTCCTCCTCCCGCGGCAACCCTTCCTCGGCAACCCTTCCTCGGCAACCCTTCCGCGGCAACCCTTCCTCCGCCCTCGGCAACCCTTCCTCCACCCTCGGCAACCCTTCCTCCGCCCTCGGCAACCCTCCTTCCGCCCTCGGCAACTCTTCCTCCGCCCTCGGCAACCCTTCCTCTGCCCTTGGCAGAAGGGTTGCTGAGGGTGGAGGAAGGGTTGCTAGAGGCGGAGGAAGGGTTGCCTCGGCAACACTTCCTCTGCCCTCGGCAACCCTTCTTCCGCCCTCGGCAACCCTTCGTCCGCCCTCGGCAACCCTTCGTCCGCCCTCGGCAACCCTTCGTCCGCCCTCGGCAACCCTTCGTCCGCCCTCGGCAACCCTTCGTCCGCCCTCGGCAACCCTTCGTCCGCCCTCGGCAACCCTTCGTCCGCCCTCGGCAACCCTTCCTCTTCTTGTAACAATCCTTCAACCTTTTCCAGTAACCCTTCTTCCACCTCCAGCAACCTATCTGCCTCCAGAACTCCTTCCTCCGCCTCCAATAACCCTTCCTCCGCCTCCAGTAACCCTTCCTCCGCCTCCAGTAACCCTTCCTCTGCCTCCAGTAACCCTTCCTCTGCCTCTTCCAACCTTCTTCTGCATCCACCATCCTTTCCTTCACCTCCTCAGTCTCACCTCCCTCTCTAACACAGACCCCGCAGAGCACCTCCTCGCCTTGGGCCCTGTGGACGCTGTGGTCAGTAACCCTCCCTACATATTTACAGAGGACCTGTCTACTTTGGACCCAGAGATCTTAAGGTGAGGCGCCTTTTTCTGTCCATCCATCTGATTGTATCTACTGCTAGTAAATCAAACACTGCTGGACGGTCTGATTACTCAAGAGAGCATTTTACCATTTTGGAGATCGTCCTCCCCATCAAGGTCTGACCCATTCATGATTTGGGGGGGGGGGGGTCATTCAAGCCTAAATGCTCAGATTGAATTTCGCAATGTCGGTGTTGAGGAGCGGAATTATGGGAATTTCAGCATCAGTATTGGGATCCTCCATTACTGCAAGAAAGGGTGATGAGATCTGGACCCCACTATCCGCCCTCCCCTCCCCTCCCCATCTCTAAACACGTACCTGGCTCCTGTCACCACTTCAGTGGCTCCAGCACCGCGCCCCATACTTCCTGCTCCAGTACCGCTCTCCACACTTCCTGCTCCAGCGCCGCTCCCCACATTTCCTGCTCCAGCGCCGCTCCCCACACTTCCTGCTCCAGCGCCGCTCCCCACACTTCCTGCTCCAGCGCCGCTCCCCACAGAGAGATTTTTTTTTTGTTTAACTTACACTAGATACCCCGTAATCTGGTTGGCTGAAAACATTCCCAGACACCTGATTGGATAACTGCATCTTCTTGTTCTCCAGGTATGAGGACCACACAGCATTAGATGGGGGCCCCGATGGAATGGATGTGATGAAGGCTATTCTGCGCCTTGCACCTCTCCTGCTAAAACCTGGAGGGTAGGTGAAATCTTGTGTCACCCCCCCCCCCCGCCTTTCTGTCAGATATCGCAACGCTTCACCCAGAAAATTGCTGCGATGACAAATGTTTCGGCATTCTCGTGTTTATTTCTTTGGTTTGTATTGGCGACACAAAAAAGTGGAGAAACAAAAAGCCGAATCTGACACATTCCACACAAAACCCCGAAAATGGACCAGACAAAGTTATTGGCACCCTCGCAAAATTGTAAGAAATAATTGCATTCCAAGTGTGTGACACTCCTGTAATTTGTCATTAAACTCCCCGTATCCATGACCAGGTGATGACAACATAGAAATCACACCGACAACCGGGGACAATGGTGACACATGACCTCCACCTTTCTGTTGTGTGCCATATGGAGGCATGGAGAAGAGAGAGCAGCAAAGAATTGTCTGAGGATTGGAGAAGAAAAATGGTGGAAAAGCACGGACCATCTCAAGGTTACAAGTCCATCTCCAGAGAGCTTCACGTTCTGGTGTCCACTGTGCGCAACATTGTCAGGAGGTTTCCAGCCCATGGCGCTGTAGCTAATCCCCCTGGATGTGGACGAAAGAGAAAAATTCATCAAAGATTGCAACAAAGGATTGTTGGAATGGTGGCTAAAGATCAACTTCCAGACAAATCCCAGCTGACCTTCAGGCACCGGGTACAACTGTGTCCGCTCACACTATACGTCCCATCTGAATGAAAATGGACGCTATGGTAGGAGACCCAGGAGGACCCCACTGCTGACACAGAAATATGGTAGGAGACCCAGGAGGACCCCACTGCTGACACAGAAATATGGTAGGAGACCCAGGAGGACCCCACTGCTGACACAGAAATATGGTGGGAGACCCAGGAGGACCCCACCGCTGACACAGAAATATGGTGGGAGACCCAGGAGGACCCCACCGCTGACACAGAAATATGGTAGGACACCCAGGAGGACCCCACTGCTGACACAGAAATATGGTAGAAGATCCAGGAGGACCCCACTGCTGACACAGAAATATGGGGGGAGGACCCCACTGCTGACACAGAAACATGGGAGGAGACCCAGGAGGACCCCACTGCTGACACAGAAACATGGGAGGAGACCCAGGAGGACCCCACTGCTGACACAGAAACATGGGAGGAGACCCAGGAGGACCCCACTGCTGACACAGAAACATGGGAGGAGACCCAGGAGGACCCCACTGCTGACACAGAAACATGGTAGGAGACCCAGGAGGACCCCACTGCTGACACAGAAATATGGTGGGAGACCCAGGAGGACCCCACCGCTGACACAGAAATATGGTGGGAGACCCAGGAGGACCCCACCGCTGACACAGAAATATGGTGGGAGACCCAGGAGGACCCCACCGCTGACACAGAAATATGGTGGGAGACCCAGGAGGATCCCACCGCTGACACAGAAATATGGTAGGAGACCCAGGAGGACCCCACCGCTGACACAGAAATATGGTTGGAGACCCAGGAGGACCCCACCGCTGACACAGAAATATGGGGAGACCCAGGAGGATCCCACCGCTGACACAGAAATATGGTAGGAGACCCAGGAGGACCCCACCGCTGACACAGAAATATGGTAGGAGACCCAGGAGGACCCCACCGCTGACACAGAAACATGGGAGGAGACCCAGGAGGACCCCACTGCTGACACAGAAATATGGTAGGAGACCCAGGAGGACCCCACTGCTGACACAGAAATATGGTAGGAGACCCAGGAGGACCCCACTGCTGACACAGAAATTTGGTAGGAGACCCAGGAGGACCCCACTGCTGACACAGAAATATGGTAGGAGACCCAGGAGGACCCCACCGCTGACACAGAGATATGGTGGGAGACCCAGGAGGACCCCACCGCTGACACATTAATATGGTAGGAGATCCAGGAGGACCCCACCGCTGACACAGAAATATGGTGGGAGACCCAGGAGGACCCCACCGCTGATTCAGAAATATGGTAGGAGACCCAGGAGGACCCCACTGCTGACACAGAAATATGGCGGGAGACCCAGGAGGACCCCACCGCTGACACAGAAATATGGTAGGAGACCCAGGAGGACCCCACTGCTGACACAGAAATATGGTGGGAGACCCAGGAGGACCCCACCGCTGACACAGAAACATATTGGAAGCCAGATTAGAGTTTGCCAAAACTTACCTGAGGAAGCCAAAATCCTTCTGGGAGAATGTGCTGTGGACAGACAAAACCAAATTCCAGCTTTTTGGTAAAGCCCATCATTCTACTGTTTTCAGAAAAAGCAATGAGGCCTTTTAAAGAAAAGAATCCAGTCCCTCCAGTCACACATGGTGGGGGGTCACTGATGTTTTGGGGTGCTTTGCTGCTTCAGATGGATGTCTTGACCGTGTGCATGGCATTATGAAATCTGATGACGCCAAAGAACTCGAGTGCAATGTAGGGCCCGATGTCAGAATGTTGGGTCTCCGTCAGAGGTCATGGGTCTTCCAGCAGGACAATGACCCAAAGCACACGTCACAAAGCCCCCAGAAATGGTTTCAGACAAAGCGCTGGAGAGGACTGAACTGGCCAGCAACGAGTCAAGATCTCCATCCCATAGAGCTCCTGTGGAGAGACCTGAAGCAGTTGGGGAAAGGAACCTTCCAATCTGGGAGACCTGGAGTAGTTGGGGAAAGGAACCCTTCCAATCTGGGAGACCTGGAGTAGTTGGGGAAAGGAACCCTTCCAATCTGAGAGACCTGGAGTAGTTGGGGAAAGGAACCCTTCCAATCTGAGAGACCTGGAGCAGTTGGAAAAGGAACCCTTCCAATCTGAGAGACCTGGAGCAGTTGGGGAAAGGAACCCTTCCAATCTGAGACCTGGAGCAGTTGGGGAAAGGAACCCTTCCAATCTGAGACCTGGAGCAGTTGGGGAAAGGAACCCTTCCAATCTGAGACCTGGAGCAGTTGGGGAAAGGAACCCTTCCAATCTGAGAGACCTGGGGCAGTTGGGGAAAGGAACCCTTCCAATCTGAGACCTGGAGCAGTTGGGGAAAGGAACCCTTCCAATCTGGGAGACCTGGAGCAGTTGGGGAAAGGAACCCTTCCAATCTGGGAGACCTGGAGCAGTTGGGGAAAGGAACCCTTCCAATCTGGGAGACCTGGAGCAGTTGGGAAAAGGAACCCTTCCAATCTGGGAGACCTGGAGCAGTTGGGGAAAGGAACCCTTCCAATCTGGGAGACCTGGAGCAGTTGGGAAAAGGAACCCTTCCAATCTGAGACCTGGAACAGTTGGTGGAAGAAGAGCGATCCAAACTTCCAGTAGAGAGGTGGAAGAAGCCCATTGATGGTTCCAGGAAGCCATTGATTTCAGGTATTTTTTCCAAGGGGTGTGCCACTGAATATTACATTGAAGGTGCCAATAATTTTGTCCAGTTCATTTTTGGGGTTCTGCGTGGAATGTGTCAGATTTGGATTTTTGTTTCTCCACCTTTTTGTGTCACCGATACAAACAGAAGATGTAAACATGAGAATGCCGAAACATTTGTCATTGCAGCAATTATCTGGGTGTAGTGGTCAGTTATCTGACAGAAATGAGGGGGGGGGGGGGGCATTATTTTTGTCCATGACTGTATACTTGCCTTGTAATTCCTTTATCAGGGCTGCATAGGACCCAAATTTTCTACACTTTCAGGACCATCTTCCTAGAGGGAGACCCCCGACACCCAGACATGGTGCAGGAGTGGCTGCAGATCCATCCTGAGCTTCAGCTGCAACTTCTCAATGTGGTGAAAGACTTCTGCAGGAAGTACGTCTGTCCGTCACACATGGGGGGTGGGGGGGGATTCACTATAACTGGGGCACTGAGAATCTGGTGGGAGCCAATCAGCTTCTAACTTCAGATTGTTCAATGAAGCTTGGACAAAAAAAAACCTGGAAGCTGATTGGCTCCCATGCAGAGCTGCACCAGATTCTGGTCTCTCCAGGTTTAGTAGATGAGCCCCCTCTTGTTTTGTGACTCTGCTGAATCCTGTGTGTGTTCCGTTCACAGGCCGAGGTTTATTCACCTGCAGAGGAGAGATGGAACCTCCTGAAGACACACAGGTAGCCGCCTTCAACTGCTTGTCCATCCCAGAGTGCGCTGTGAGGAGGAGGAGCTCAGTAGGGCCCCCTGCAGGATACCAATCACAATGAGATTTACGCCAACCAACAAGAATGACTGCGACCTCCCGTGTGAGAGACGAGCTTCAAGTGGTGTCAGGCCAATCCGCATTTTGCACTTTTCTGGGTGATTGCGTTCATCTTTAAGGGCCAGTTCACACGCGTTTCATTTGCTTTTTTTTTTTTCTGCATCCAAAACGCACAGAAAGTCGGTGATATGGTTGTCAGTGTCATAGTTTGCATCGGCGCTCGCAGTTCCAGTGCGTTCCGGATGCAGAAAGAAAAGTAGAACAGGCTGCGGTTTTTTTTCTGCACAGAACTGTATTAAAACGCACCAAAACGCACCAAAACGCACATGTCCCTATTTAAATGGATAAAAAGAGGGGGGAAAATAAACGAATGCATAAAAAACGCACTGAAATGCATCAAAAACACATAGTGTGTGTCTATATACAGTGCAGGAAATGTGTATTTGCTCCCCGGCTGATGGTGAACGTTCGCCCCTCACACAGAAATGATCGGTCTAACAATGGAATGTTCGCCCCTCACACAGAAATGATCGGTCTAACAATGGAATGTTCGCCCCTCACACAGAAATGATCGGTCTAACAATGGAATGTTCGCCCCTCACACAGAAATGATCGGTCTAACAATGGAATGTTCGCCCCTCACACAGAAACGATCGGTCTAACAATGGAATGTTCGCCCCTCACACAGAAATGATCGGTCTAACAATGGAATGTTCGCTGTAACACTGAGAGACAGAATACAACAACAAATTCAGCAGAAATGCGTCTAACAAATGATGACTGATCTGCATGTTCATGAGGGAAAGAAGGATTTGATCCCCTATCATTCAGCAGGATTTCTGGCTCGCAGGTGTCTCTCATACAGGCAACAAGCTGAGATTAGAAGCAGTCTCTTAAAGGGAGTGCTGCTAATCTCATTGTGTTACCTGTATAAAAGACACCTGTCCACAGGAGCAATCAGCCAATCAGATTCCAAACTCTCCACCATGGCAAAGACCAAAGAGCTGTCCAAGGATGTCAGGGACAAGATGGTAGACCTACACAAGGCTGGACTGGGCTACCACACTTCAGACGTGCATCTGTGAATTCATGACATCATCAATGAAATGCAGCTCCCTGACACCAGCAACACTCAGGCAGCCCCACAGAAGGACACTGCCACCGCCATGTTTCACAGTAGGCACCATGCATTTTTCTTTGTACTCCTCACCTTTTGTGAAACCCTCCGTTCCAAAAACATTTATCTTGGTCTCATCACTCCAGAGTACAGAGTCCCAGTAGGCGTCTTCTGTTTCAGCATGGGTACTGGCAAATTCTAGGCTGGCTTTTTTTGTGCATGGACTTCCTTCGTGGATGACACCCATGCATGCCATTCCTCTGCAGTGTACGCCATATTGTGTCACAGGAAACAATCACCCCAGTTTGGCTTTCTACTTCTTTAGCTAACTTCAATGAACTTACATGGCAATTTTCTTCAACCCTTCTCATCAGAAAACGCTCCTGTCGAGGTGTTAACCTCCATGGACGGCCTGGACGTCTCTGTGAAATGGTTGCAGTTCCATCTTTGTTACATTTTTGTATCACTTATGCTCCAGTATTCTGACTGATAAGTAAATCTTTGTTGATCTTCTTGTAGCCGTCACCTTTCTTGTGTAATGAAATGATTTTCTTTCTCAGGCCTTGTGACATTTCTCTTCCATGTGGTGCCATTGCTGACAGCATGAAGTGGGCGGGGTTTTCTTTTTAAGTAACGCCCTTTTATAATCACCTGTCTGCTGGGCACCTGTTTAATAATTAATTAGACTCACCTGGAGCTGAATTCTTTTTCAATCCTCCCTTCTAGCACAAATCCCCTCCCCCTCTACCATATGACCTCTTCTAGCACACAACTCCCAAATCCTCTCCTCAACACCAATCCCCCCCAAATCACTCCTAAAACCCCCTCCAAAATTTCCCCTCCTAGAACAATTCTTCTTCCCCCTGCCATACACCAAATTCCTCCTCTCAAGACAAATCCCCCCCTCATTTCTCCCTTCTAGCACAAATCCTCCCCCCCAAACTTCCCCTGCTATCACATATACCCCCTAAACATCCCTACCAGCACAAATCCCCCCCTCCCAGCAGAAATCTTTGTCCCCATATCCCCCCTCCCCTCAACCCCCCCTCCTAGCTCACATCCTCTATCCCTCAAATTTCCCCTCCAAGCACAAATCCTCTCCCCTCCACCCTAAAGTCCCCCTCTCAGCACCAATCCCCCCCAATCCTCCCTTCTAGTACAAATCCCCCCCCCCCCCCCCACCATATGATCTCTCCTAGCACAAAACTCCCACATCCTCCCCTCAACACAAACCCCCCCCTTCCTAAATCAGCACCACTAAAAACCACACCACGAACTGTCCCCTACTAGAACAATTCTTCCCCCCCCCTCCCCCGACATACCCAAATTCCTCCTCCCAAGACAAATCCCCTCCCCCTGATCTCCTTACTGCGCCCCCCCCCCCCCTTTACATGATATCACAGTGCCCAGGGCAGCCGCCCCTCCTGCCCACCCCTTGTCCCAGCCCTGCACTGCACTGATGACCAAAAATCCTGGAACAGCTGTGATATCTGCTGGATTGGGACTCGTGATGGAATGGGACCCGTGCTGGATTGGGACCCGTGCTGGATTGGGACCCGTGATGGAATTGGGAACCGTGCTGGATTGGGACCCGTGATGGAATGGGACCCGTGATGGAATGGGACCCGTGCTGGATTGGGACCCGTGATGGATTGGGACCCGTGACTCCCTTCTGTGCTGTGCAGTTTAAATGTAGAGTTTTTCCAAATAAACGATCGCAGGAAATCGCAATCCTTCCGTCTATTTCTGTCGCAGTCCAATTTACAAACATTAATTGGATTCTCTGTGATCCCCGAAGGGCCACTTTATAATAAATCATCTCTAAGCTCTGCTACAAAGTGTTCATGAATTGACTGCTCTCCCCTCCTCCATTCCTCTCCTCCATCGCTCCCCCCCCCCCCCCTCCTGTTTTCTGTCTGAGGATTGGATTCACTATTGTCCTTTCCTGGAAGTTCGGGTGACAAAGTCCCTCAGGGCAGCCGAGTCTTTCCAGGAATCCGCCAATGTCTGATCTCACTGGAAATTGTCAGACGGTCCCTACGTGAGCTCAGAGCCAAAACCTGAACCCTGTATACCACGGGATGTATATACTCCCCGATCCTGAACCCTGTATACCACGGGATGTATATACTCCCCGATCCTGAACCCTGTATACCATGGGATGTATATACTCCCCGATCCTGAACCCTGTATACCATGGGATGTATATACTCCCTGATCCTGAACCCTGTATACCACGGGATGTATATACTCCCTGATCCTGAACCCTGTATACCATGGGATGTATATACTCCCCGATCCTGAACCCTGTATACCGTAGGATGTATATACTCCCCGATCCTGAACCCTGTATACCGTGTAGGATGTATATACTCCCTGATCCTGAACCCTGTATACCATGGGATGTATATACTGCCTGATCCTGAACCCTGTATACCACGGGATGTATATACTCCCCGATCCTGAACCCTGTATACCACGGGATGTATATACTCCCCGATCCTGAACCCTGTATACCACGGGATGTATATACTCCCTGATCCTGAACCCTGTATACCACGGGATGTATATACTCCCTGATCCTGAACCCTGTATACCACGGGATGTATACTCCCTGATCCTGAACCCTGTATATACCACGGGATGTATATACTCCCTGATCCTGAACCCTGTATACCACGGCTGTATATACTCCCTGATCCTGAACCCTGTATACCATGGGATGTATATACTCCCTGATCCTGAACCCTGTATACCACGGGATGTATATACTCCCTGATCCTGAACCCTGTATACCACGGGATGTATATACTCCCTGATCCTGAACCCTGTATACCACGGGATGTATATACTCCCTGATCCTGAACCCTGTATACCACGGATGTATATACTCCCTGATCCTGAACCCTGTATACCACGGGATGTATATACTACCTGATCCTGAACCCTGTATACCACGGGATGTATATACTCTCCCTGATCCTGAACCCTGTATACCACGGGATGTATATACTCCCTGATCCTGAACCCTGTATACCACGGGATGTATATACTCCCCTGATCCTGAACCCTGTATACCGTAGGATGTATATACTCCCTGATCCTGAACCCTGTATACCACGGGATGTATATACTCCCTGATCCTGAACCCTGTATACCATGGGATGTATATACTCCCTGATCCTGAACCCTGTATACCACGGGATGTATATACTCCCTGATCCTGAACCCTGTATACCACGGGATGTATATACTGCCTGATCCTGAACCCTGTATACCACGGGATGTATATACTCCCTGATCCTGAACCCTGTATACCACGGGATGTATATACTGCCTGATCCTGAACCCTGTATACCATGGGATGTATATACTGCCTGATCCTGAACCCTGTATACCATGGGATGTATATACTCCCCGATCCTGAACCCTGTATACCATGGGATGTATATACTGCCTGATCCTGAACCCTGTATACCATAGGATGTATGTGCTCCCTGATCCTGAACCCTGTATACCATGGGATGTATGTACTCCCTGATCCTGAACCCTGTATACCATGGGATGTATATACTCCCTGATCCTGAACCCTGTATACCATGGGATGTATATACTCCCTGATCCTGAACCCTGTATACCATGGGATGTATATACTCCCGGATCCTGAACCCTGTATACCATGGGATGTATATACTCCCGGATCCTGAACCCTGTATACCATGGGATGTATATACTCCCTGATCCTGAACCCTGTATACCATGGGATGTATATACTCCCGGATGCTGA